AGCCATGTGAGCGTAAGTAGTCACTTTCTTCGCTTCAGCTCATCCGGAGTGCAACGAAAATGAGTAGGCACGTGGTCAGCAGGCTTATCGGAGCATATTTTCCATGTCTTCGGTAGCACACTTCGTGTAAACGGCAAGTGATATTACGAGACAAGGTGCTGGAACGCGCTCGTGTGGCTGACATTATGGAGCTGTGCCAGGAGACAATGCAATAAAATTTTTATAGTATATATATATATATGAATGAAACCGCAGCCATTCACACTCCCTACATATGCGGCAGATGTCAAATGTATGCACCCGTTATTTCTACAATTGCTTCACATGACCAGATAAGCTCAGCGCCAAGTCAACCGCAATGTATCCTTGATACATCAACCCTTTCCTTTCACAAGGTATACTGGCGATCGCGGACGGCTCATTACCCCTAACCGCAAGGTTATTAGCAATGGACTCGTTCCCAATGCTCCGACATATTTACCGCTCAAATAGTCCGCGATTAAAATGACTCACACAACAGTGACGCGAACGCTGATTCCACCATTTATGGTATGTTTTCATTGCTTTTGATTGACGCCAGATGGATTATCAACAAACGGTATTTCCTAAGCATGCTTGCACATTTAAACGAGCTGCAAGCAATCCTCGTTACCGAAACGTGGTACCCCGCTGATATATTAGACTGTAATCCAATAATCCCCTTTTAACACCTTTTTCGTAAAGATCGCTGTAAAAGAAAAGGTGGAGGATGCCTCATGTAACTCCATCACATATGTACAGCTGAACGGTTTGAACATCCACTGCTGGCAAATGTCCATGATTCTCTCTGGTTCTCTGTCTCAGGAATCTCAGCTTACTTGTATCTATCCGCAACGCGCCAAATTCATCAACCGTGAATCACCGTATCACCTCAGCTTTCCATTTTGCATCGAAACAGACGTACAAACAAAGCATAATTGTAGGTGATTTCAACATACCGAAGATACACTGGTCTTCCCAGACCTTCTTGTCTATACACAGCCTTCATGTATTCAGTCAGAGTTAGTTGGACAGAGTGGATTTCTATACGAACTAGTTTGAAGAACACATTAGACGAGATGTTTACATTGGGTACAGCTAATGTACAGAGAGACGTTTCTGAGAACATCCCAGGTAGCGACGGCAACATGATACGCTTAACCTTCACCGTTAAAATGGCCACCAAACAAGTACCTTCTTCTTACTATACCAGCCGCAGTATTAACCGGAAGCCTTTCCGTCAAATAATCCGGTCTTGCGATTAGGCTGTCTTCCTTCTCTCCAACAAGGCATACACAGCCGTGGAGCGTTTCTATCATTAGTTTCAGCAAGCCATAATCCTCGTTGCTGCACAAGAAAAACGAATCAGTGACGTTTAAAAAGATGCAGTCGAACGTTCGATGAGTCAGAAAGCCAGCAAACCGATCGCGCGTTAAAAAGGGATAGGATATTTACAATGATTCCACAGATGCACCGACTCATCTCTGAAAGTCAAGCACTTACAATTGATGGGAAGAACACATGAAGATCAAGCAATCTTACGAATGACATGTAAAGCAAAAGAGTCTGGTCAGATTTCTACGTCGAAGAACCAACAAACGCCTTTTCACTGATCACTGAACTGGTGGACGACATCCAGGCGCCATCTGTGAAGCATTTAGCTCGTTCTTCTCCACCTACATGAACCTTAACACTAACAATATAATTACACTAAGACCCCATCTAAAGTGCTATTGCTCTTCGCAATATCCGTCAAACAACGCATTCTATTCAACCGTGCTCAATTCTGGAAGCTGATGACGTCCCCCATTCGCCATGAAACTGGGAGAGCCTGATATGTCACTGCCACTTTTGTATATGTTTGCCGTGTCACTGGGATCCAAGTACTTTGCAGACCAATGTAAAACTTTATTCATTAACCCTTACCACAAAGGCAGCGCAAAACAAGCGATTGACACTAACAGGCCAAACCAAAGCTCTCCTATAATGGCCGGAGTATTCATGAAATTGGTGACAAAGTGTGAAGAAGTTCATCAACTCACTGGGGCTGATAGACAGGTCCCAAAATGGTTTCCTTGACTAACGATCGCACATATTCTTGTAGCTGCATTACCTGAACTATACACCGGACTCCATTGACTCAAAATATGCCATATTAATTCTATGCTTACACATGTAGAAAACATTCGATCGGGTTGCCTCACAAACGGTTACCGATTCAGATAAATTTCTTTTAAGTCCGCAACACATTAATGGGTTGGCTAAACTCACACATAAACGGTCCCGCTAAAATAGTCACCTTACGCGACTATTGCTTTTTCCCCCGTCCAATTACTAGCGAGGTTAAAGAAGGATGTACGCTCGGTACATTAATTTTCCTTCTTTGTGTCAATGAAAACAGTTCGGTTAACAAACATGGCGTACCGTATTTATTTGTTGATGACATAACATTTGTCCGTAAATACAGTGGAGTTGAGCTTCCGAGTGTACTACCGCTCATTCAAGAATACATCCATTCCTTTGAGACTTGATGCCACAACTAGATGATGACATTTTAAGCACAACAGTCAAGTATCATATGTCACGATCGCTTGACACCCGAAGTATCTAGCACATGTAACAGCGAACGCATCTGTGAACAACGGTCGACCCGTGACCTTGAAATCAGATATTCTTGTACCTTTGTGATTTTAGAACAGATTGAGTACCAGATAGCACCAGCCAGACAAACTTTCGCTAACATCCATCATAAAATGCATACAAGCATAGCTACAGTTGAACTATTTAAAATCCTTAATCATTCCATCCTGGAGTATCGCAGCATACTCGGACGTAATATGAGGAAAGAAGACAGAACATCGATAGAAAGCCTTCAACGGTCATTTACAAAGCACGTGTTTGGAAAAAACCCTATCATGAACTATCTAAAGTGATGCCAGCAACTCCATCTCCATCCACTTTGGCTGCGGACTAAAAAATAACTTGAGACTACTGCACAATCTGATTCATGGCAATAACCATTGCAAGCGATTCACCTTAACAATGAAGCACAATTACACGCGACCTAGGTAACAAAGACCCTACCCTGATTATACCACGATGCGGTTTAACATTCCTCTTACCATATACGCTTCTCTATAGAATCGGTTGCCATTTACCATCAGGCCGTGTGAGACTGTGCAATCCTTTCGCAGAAAGTTGGGCAGCTATCTTTACTTGGACACCACTATATCGTTTTTTGGTTGGGAAGATTATTTGAACATCCATGCAATGAGAGCCCAGATAACGTCTAATGGGTGTAATATCACCAATTCACGCAATACAGTTAGTCCTCAGTGTCTACAACATACACAAACTGCAAATTCGCCTCCTATCATCGCATAAGAAAAACATATGGGGCAAATACCGTGCCAGGAATGCAGACAAATATAAGAAGATAACTTGATATTACGCTTGCATGACACCATCTGTGCATGTATGTTCTGTGCCAAATATTCTCACAGATTTGCACTTGATGAGAAATATGCCCATTATTATTAATACTATTTTAAGTATCTTCATGCGGTGTATTGTTTTCACCAGGCACTATTAACCTGAAGCCTGAATGTGCCTCTGGTACAATGCACAAATATCGTGCGCTCGATACTGCTCGGACAAGCACTTGAAATTTAGCACAGGGACACCGGCTACCGGCCGGGTCAGAATACGAACTAATGGTTACTCTCCGACAAATGCTCTGTTATAGTGCTTCTGAGGGAGAACGTTCGAACACCTCATCCTAGGTTGAGCAGCTACAGCCAGGCGTAGTGTTGGTGACCTATAGCAATGACGCTCTTATCCATGTCTGAGTTCCGGTAACACCAAAGTACCAACCTACTCGGGAGCATACCTGTCCCCCATAGATGCATACATCTAGCCCTGTGCTTACATCCAGGGAGTCCCATTGGCTAATGTCCCATGACCAACGAGAGTGTCACTGATACTGTGTGCATGTAACCCTTCAGGGAGAGAATGAATTCGTAGATAATGCCCATGGTTGGCGGTATCCGGTTTCGGATTCGCCTGTCACTGTGGCCAACCACAGGACACCTGCGCCTACAGAGGGGCCATGGGTGGCTTGCGCTGCACCAACCACAGCTCCAACCACACACCCCATATCCAGTGTAAACCCGAAGGAATAAGACCGAGAGGCATGTGGATGGGAGCCACGTTTCATCAACGGAGCCGGCTCCCAGTCCTTCACAGGCAAACACAAGCACGCTGTATTTGGGGAATTAAGCGCACACAAGGCGGTGGCTGGACCGTAGTCCGCTCCACACTGACTGCATGGAACCGCTCTTTGAGCCTAGCACGGCCACAAGGACCGGGCACCCCGTCCTCTCCAGCAACGACCAACTGTCTCCTGGAGCCAGTATGAACGAGGTAGTGGGTAACAGACAGGTAGGCACATTGTCAACATGCACATCAAGCGCAAGTACACCGGGGATATCAAGCAACAGCCATTCAATTTAAACGACAAGCTGAAATAAAATAAATCCAATAATGCATACAGATACGGTGGCATAACTCTTCCCTAAATTACCATATGAAGTATGTTGGTTAGCAACGAATCCACGATAAGTAAGAAATGTCCACAAGTTACTTAAACATGCTACAAACACAACAAAATTAACGAAGATAAGCGCAATTAGCGTAAGCAACGTGGCCAGTTAATAGAATATTATTCAGATAGGCAGAACAAACCAAATAAAGTGGAATAAAATTTATCCAGCTTAAAAAGACCTAGTTTAAGTGTAAGTTGGTTTAGCCCAACTGCGGTGAAGAAGCATCAAAAATGCAACATCAGCCTCAGCATGGGGCACAAGATAATGCCCATAGGGATGCAATAAAGCACGGTTGTAAGAGACCTCTTCTCAGTAACTCACATCAGGTAAATACGTTTACAAGCACAATCGAGATACTCATAAGCTAATGAAAACTGAAGCGAAAGTAGGAGAGATTCTGAATTTATTCGGACGGAAGTTAAATTGATCGAGCTTATTTGGTGAAGCCTGTGTTGTCGATGAAGGCTGACCTTATTCGATCTCACTTGACACAGTTCGCTGACCGCGAAGCAAATTGGGTCAGCAGAGAAGTGATGCCACCTTTGGTCTCATCAATGTTCCATGCGAATGGATCCTTATCATGGCCACGGCAGCGTGAGAGATTGCAGTAGCATCCTTTGCTTGCAAAGCTCCGCTTGCGTTAACTTGATCGCTATCGATTCCGCAATCTTAAGGAGGCGTCTCTTAATCCCTTAGGATATCGTTTTGACACGGTGTAGAAAAGGTTGAAAGCATCATTGGTCAGAATTTCGTGTCCTTTTGAACCAGATGTTCAAGGATGGAACTTTTGATACTTCCGGCAGTGCCTTTTCGTAGAGACCCGGGACAGTGCTTAGCTATCCTTGTTGACAGACGTCTGGTCGTATGTCCCATGTACTTAGCGCCACAGGTGCAAGTAAATTGATATATCACGTACAATTCGGACTTGGCCGGTAATTTGTCTTTAAGGCGCTGAGTAATAAATGGAGTGGTCTCAGCAAGAACGTGTGGATTTGCAGCTGCGTATGTTCTTGTCATTGTAGCGGAAAGTCTTTTGTTCAGTAGATCGAAAGCGATGTCACCCTTAAACGGAACCGTGAGAAACACATCCTTTTTGGGAACTGTGATGACAGGTTCACTGCGTTCACGAACAACAGCATGTTTTTTGATAAAAAAGAGGGATAACCGTTTGAGAGCAACGTAGTAAATATGTGTTCTTTCTAATCTGCTAGTGTCTCCGGGCTGCAGATTTTGGAGGCTCGGTACTACATGCAGCTGACTATGTTACGTTTAAACCTCAGAGGCACGAAACTCAAAAAGTACGTGTATTGTCCAACACAAGAATCCTCCCGGAAGACCTTTGTCTCAAGAGAGCTGTCTTCCCGTCTCATCAGTAGTACGTCCAGGAACGACAGCTTTCCTTCTTTTTCCGTTTCTTTGATGTCCACGTGAGCTTGAAAGAACGACCCGTTATTTTGAGAGTTTAACAAGCTAACTTATTAACACCATGCATGACGTTGCCTGTAAAAAGGTATAGATGTATACAACTCCAGTTCACTAGTGAAGCTGTTCGACAGCTTAGTCTGACACACGCTAAAACAAGGAGGAAGGTTCAATAAAGTGTCCGCAACATAGTAACTAAGGTGCGCTGTTTTCATGGAGTTTCAGAGTAGATCATGAAAGAAAGTTCGGTGACCCGGATTGAACCATGTGAGAGAGTGGAGCGCCGATAGCATACATTTGTGGACCTATTTCATTTCCACATAAGAAAATCAAATTAACGACCGCAAGTGCATGGGGGATGGGTAACCTGGTATGTCTCAGGAACCAAGCATTGATAGGATGAGGAACAACAGCGTTTGTGGGCTGCCACCATAGTGAATAGGAGCAGAGGTCCAGTGCCCCCGAGCTTTCTTCTTTGGCTGTTTCGAAATGGGGCACTCATTCCTAGCAAATGGGTTCAATGGAATATCTAAGAGTTGGCATTTGCTGGTCTCCTGATTTGAAGCATAAACTGTTTTAGATTTTGTGTGTCTACTGAGAAGGCCCCAGAAGCCAGCAACAGGAGTTACGGTCCCTGAAGGCGCCGGTAGAGTTGTTTCCTCAGAATGAAGATACACTGGAGGGATGCATACACAAGTGTGTTTCAGAGATCGACTGATATGCACACCATAACAACAATTCGTGTACCGCCAAATTATCAGCCACTATCATTACATCTCGCCGTCAGATTTATGCTGCATGCATTCCATATATTGTACGAACTTATTAGTGTCATGAACTGGGACACATCGTCTTCAACCTACGATTCTGTTGTAGCTGTTAAGGAACTTGTCAACGATATTGTCATATGTGCAGACGTACTGGCACCTGTCGTATGGATCAATACTCATAAGCATAGTGTTCAGCACAAGCGTCTGAACAGAACCACCACTACACCGAGGAAACTCAAAGCACTATATCGTAGGAGAAATTGTTTTGCCACACGACGACAGATACACAAGGCTCTACACAGCTACAACAATTAACCCAAACAGCCAAAATCATCGAAGAAAGCCGGGCATTAAGAATTCCTGAAAAGGTACCCGCACTAATGCAGCTACATAAAAGAAGAAAGCGTGAACATCACCAAGAAAATGAACTTTGTGATCTGAACTCCCCTATTTTTGTTGCTGTGTTTTAAGGCACGGGAACTATAACCCTACATCTATGTACAAATGACCGCTCCCACATAAGGGTCGTATATCGCCTGTCGGTAAGCATACGTATTTATTTATGTACAAAGCAACAAATGTCCCTGATGGATGTAAATTTTGGCATAACTGTTTAAACGAAGTATTGACGAGTTCTGATGTCTTTAACTCGAAACTTCTGAGAGGTCTGTTGTTACCCCAAGGGTCAGCAGCACACTGTAGGCCGAAATGTTGCCTGAGTAGCTGCATAGGGTCCACTAAGCATCAACTGAATCAATGTGGGTTGATAACGAGGTTCATTGAGTAGACACAAAGTGGAATGAATAGCCGTGGGATCTGTACTGGCTGACTCATAAACCGGATCCTGCTCGGCTAGGAGTTTTCGTGAACTAATAGTAAAGAGGAACTCACACTCAAGCATCGACGACTGGCAGAAGATCCGAGCAATGGCAAAGAAACATCAACTAATAAAGCGTTCGGGAAGCATCTCTCAGTTGAACTACATGCGACTCCAACCATACACACAAGTTTCCTCGGTCTTTGGAGGTCTATTTTGTAAAATAAAGCCAGCTGAAAGCATTCCTTTGGTTGCAATTTGCACAGCTATGAAGCAGACCGCGGTGGGGGCTATCAGAGCCATGGCCTATTGACTAAAGCGCAATCCGTCAACTACTACGAGTCGGATTCCACTCCCTGATCAGGCGATCTCCGCCTGAAGAATACAAACCAAGACGAAACTTGTCATGGATTGTAACGTGGGGAGAAAACAGCTCCGAAACCATCCAAGCCTGTAATACTTAAGGGGAGAAAAACTAATCATGGTCTTACAATCATCATGATCTTCACCGACCGGTGAATAGCTGCTGAAACGCCTCCGAACTTAGAGTCTATGCCTATAAATACCCTTCTTAATGGAGGATGTTATCGGCCACACACAGTGTACAACCATGCCGGTCTCGTTAAATTGAACTTCCATTAAAAACTTTCCATTGCTCCCTGCAGCTTCGAATTGGTCGTCCAGATTCCAGAGCGACTGCATTGATAAGAAGGTAAATTTCACCCTAATTACTTAGCTAATTTGAAAAGTAGTTCAATGAAAGTAACGAAACCACATATGGGATTGTGTTTTAGAAAATCACTGCCTCTCAGTTGATGTGTCCAGAAGGGGTTGCTGGCGAACTCAGCCATTCGAATCCTAAAAGACCTAATCAAGTGACTCAAATACGTCACTTAGTTATGTATATCTGTGCAGTCGTTTTCTTATTCAAACGGTTTACTCCTCTCACTCACCCAGACGCTAGAAAAATAACTGCATGGTCTTCAATTTTAAATTTGTCGCTTATACTGCTTGGCGTTCTTGGGTCGTAACTTCGTCTCGTTGCAATCATTCATCGCATTGCGGTACTGTGAAGAAAACGCCGTACTCGAACAAACTATTTAACGGTTGTTCATTAACCGATTTAGTGGGGGACAAGATACTAGCACACATATTTTAGTACAGGAAGACGGAGTTTGGACTGATCAGGTATGGCAGTATTGTCAGCAGTACGCCTGCACATTGCACCGAAGCTTCGCTGCCACGTGACCACACGTGAGCTGTATACTGCGAGGTCAACCGCACTTAAACGGGTGCAAATCGGGGACTTTTGGATTACAAGGCAAGCATCTTGTCGTTTCGTCCAAGGGCCGACACCGGAGCCCTTAGCAAATGTGAGAAACTTGCCGCATAACAGGGTCGTATGCTGGTCGACAAAAATACTCAATCCCACCGAATAGGTGATTGCGCCTCACCACCAGACCAACACGTCTCATCTTGTCGAATAAGTTCAAAACATTCCTATCTGGGCTTATCAAGTGTTTTCAGTTTATGTTTCATTGTTTACCAATGTACCTCTGATGATACAGTCATTTTCTTATGTGCTAACAGTAACCACCGACGAAAAGCGGGTATACCAACAAAGCAGTTGAAATGACTAATGCCCGGACGTATATTTAAGGTGCAACTCAGATTCAACAATAAGCTAAACGGACAAGTCAACGGAGTGGTAGTGGAATCACCTCCTGGTCCGTTGCTAGCAGATACAAATCACCCTCATCACGATCATTACACGCCAGCTGAAGGTGATACACACATTTCCACTATTGCGTAGCAATAGCAAAAGATAAGATACATGAAACACGAGGTACTAAACATTACAGAATAAAAACTAGGAAACACGAAATATGATGAAAAGTACCATATTATGCTTGGGGTGTGAGATAGTATTTGGATGGAGAAGCTAAGTAAGAGGGGGTGATTTAAGGAAACTCACAACATAAACGATATTGAGGTAGGTTCATTGCCTGGTCAACAAGTGTACCTAAACAAACGGGTTCATCGTCCTTGGGACCCGAGCCCAGCAGTCGGGAGGAACCAACCAAAGCCAAATTCGAGGTGAGGGACTTCACTCTTCTCGAAAAAGTGGCCACTTGCCCCCGTCCTCTTCTTCCATCCAAAACCCCGCCGCGCATACAGTGCACGTCGCGGTAGTCGGTATGCTGGCATGTGCAACACCTGGCTTAGCCATTTGAGTCTATTGGGTGATATAACCGAGCTCAGGGATTCACCCGCTATTCCTGCACCTGCGTCAGTTTAAGAATGGACTACATGCTACTACTGTAGAACACCCAAGGTGGCGCCAGCAGCCTTCGTTCAAATGTAATAATAATGAGGGCAGGAAGTGTCGACGACACCTAGAACAACCTGCGAAGTGACAATGCGGAAATCACCTCCATCAACATATGAATAAATAAATAAACGGTATATTTCTCGACAGTGCGAGGCACGGTCCAATTGAGTGGGTATAAGTAGACTAGCTGTTCCGTGTGAAGGACAGAACACTTCGCCTGATTTATGGGCATCCACCATAAGGTTGACCAATCCCTGAGCCTATACAAAACACTCCGAATTGCCTCACAACTCCTAGAGATATCCACAATATGCCATAACTTGAGCTTAGCATCAAACGGTGGCGTCAGTTCCCCAAGCCCCTCAGACTAAGCAATTACACGAATTGTGAATAACAACCGCCCTCAAACCGAGCCCTGCAGAATGTCACTAAGAATAGCTTACCTACGCGAATGACTACGCCCCACGCGTACACACTATTCTCTCCAATCCAGAAGTGCGAGAACTCATTTAAAAACGCCACCTCAACTTTAGTGCGAGTCGCAAATGGGAATGGTAGTAAAGGTTTTCCTAAGATAAACAGAAAGATTGTCAACAGCGTGATCACTGTCTACCGCACCGGCCCAAATTTCAAGTGCCACAATTAGATTTATCAGACAGGAAAATCCTTTGTGGGATCCATGTTGCGCAACAACAACAAAATTAAACTTACTCAGATTGTT